CGAAACCGTGCAGTTGATGCTATTGATGTTATCTGTTGAATGTGTAGTTATACCATCTCTGGTTTGGCACGTAGTGTTTCCGTCGGTATGGGGGTGTATAAATCCCCAGAGTACATAATGTGGTGCATGAGTCGTTACTAGTGGAGGACCTCATCCTTTTTCTCTGCAAATAATTTCTGTTTGTCAAAAGGTTGTCTTTATTTTGCAGGTCTTTCGGGACTCACGCAGTTTGGAGCCAAGAAGCTCTCCTCATTACAACTGCTGTAGCTGTTGATCGAGTGGCTGTGTCCGCAACATCCATTGCTATTTGAAGGCCTGTCTTACCAGATGCGTACCCTTCCTGCACAATTGATTTCAAGATCAGCTTCTTGGACTCAGGAAGAAAATCCATGAGGGTCGTCAACTTTGTACAACTATCAAAATTATGGTTTCATAGAAGCTCTGCATAATTAGCTACTTGGAGTAGTCGAAGCATACACTTTTCACCCAAATAAATTGAGATGTTTACTGTCTTTGTTTGGGTGACGTTCTTGTATTGGGGCGCTTTTGATCTATGATGCACCGCATCAATGACCAATGAATTGGGCTGGGAATCAGTAAATAGGAACTCCATACCCTTTGAAATAACAAAGTATTTCTTATCCTCTCATTTGTTCATTGGTGGTGCGGAAGCTGGGGTCTGCCAGATTTCCTCCGCTGCCGCTAAGATAGCCTTGACAAGCGGAATTGCTATCTTTGAGCGGTGAGCGGGCTGGAGTTTCTTAAGGAGACAGTACTGTTTCTCTTGTACCTCTGCCAGCTGGACCTCCTGACTCACTGCCACTCTCTTAAACAGGTCTTGAAATTGTTTAAGATCGTCCGGAGGTGATACATCCCCCAGGATACCAGCCTCATCAGGGGAAGAGGAGGATTGGTCTGTGGGGGAAATATCAGGTGATTGCTCCTCCGTATCTGAAACTTGCTCCTCCTCAGGATCTGAATGATATAGCTGAGGGGATGATGGCTGTGGTGGTGGAGGGGGTGGCATTGTGATGAGACCAGAGCCGATGGGTGCCTAAGTGACATGCAGCCGTACGGGGACCATCCCATAGAGGGCGACCAATGGTGATGGTGATGAGAGTAGCGATGAGGTACATGATGATAATGGCCATAATGATAGTGTGATCTGCCCAGGGATGATCGTGTAGACGAATATGAGCGCCTGTAATCTTCCCAGTATGTGGTATGTGGAGATGCTGGGGAATGAGTAGGCATGTAGGATGTTCTGGAAGATGGCAGTGGGGAAGATGGAAATGCATCTAGAATGATAATAAGAATGCCTCATCAGTTCCACAGTAGATGGAGACAGCACCCTGCTCTGCGGGGAATGAGATGAGCCAGGCCGTTCAAGCGGTCGGGTATGCAGTGCCAGTGATCCCGGTGCTGTAGGCGATGGCAATGGGTCCAGGGAGAAAGTTGGAGAAATGGAACATGGAGTAGGGCTCCATTACTTGTTAGATATGGATGAGGTATTTTTGTGAGTCGGGGACACCTCAGACCTCTCTGGTGCTGGCGGTGCTTCCCACGGTGCTGAAGGTTTTGGTGCCACAGCTGCCAGTGCCGATAAAGTTGCCAGTGCCAAGGCTGCTGGTGAGGATGGAGGAGCCAGTGTGGTTCTGGTGGCTGATGCTGCCGGTGCCGAGATCACTCTGGGTTCTGTCTGGCGCTGTGATGTTAGCATCGTAGATGGCGCCTTTATGGTCTTGGAGGCCGGAACCACCTTTGAATGAGAAGAGGCGGTGCCAGATGTGCCTGGCTTGTCCCCAGTGCTCACCGTGCTCTGAGAGAGGGATGGCAGAGAGCGCGCTGGTGATGCCCTGGTCTTTTGGATGGAATGGAGCCTGGTGAAGAAGCTCTCCGTTTTTGGGGAACAGCCTGTTCTGAAGCAGCCATGGACTCCGAGTCTGACGGCTGAAGTGTCTTGTTGAACAGAATAATTCTGAGGCACATTTCTCTGTCTCGACGCGCCCTAGCTGTTAGCTTTGAATGGTGAGGGCACTTTTGTGGAACATGGGCCTCACCCAGACAGCGAATGCAAGATGAATGACTGTCAGAGGCGGGCATGGCTTTGTGACATGTGTCGTAGTTCTTAAAGCCTGGGAAACAAGGCATCTTGATTTTGGAAGATATCTTTTTTTTTTTTGCAGCCTGAAGGCCGAGAGCAATGCCGAGGTTGCATAACATTATCTGAATAACTATATACAAATATTTTTTTTAAAAACTACACATAACAGAATATCTCTAACTACTAACTAACGACTTTGGGAACCAATTTAAAATGGATCAGAGTCTCTGACTGGAATCAGTTAAGGAGAGGTAGTTCACTCCGTCCATGGCTGGAGGCAGCTGAGAGGAACTGGCGGGAGCCAGACCATGTGTATGTGTCTTTAACTTCTGTCGACAAAAGCCTGTAGTCTAGATGTACCCTGAATGATCAACATGCTAAAGGAGCACTAATGGAAGACAAGGCTGTGGTAGAGAAGCTAAATGAATTCTTTGCACCAGTCCTCAATGCAGAGGATGTAAGGGAGATTCCCACACTGAAGCCTTTTTTAGGTTATGAATCTGAGAAAGTATCCCAAAGTGAACTATCAATAAATATGCCAGAGTGCCAGAGGATAACTAATATAAGGCTGCTAAAAAAAGGGCTTCAAAGGTTATTCTGGAAGTTCCAGTATGGCCATTCTAATGTTTTATATTGTATATAATGAGCTATAAATCAATGTCTTTATAGAATTCATGATTTTTAATGTCTAAAAAATTAGGAATTTATGCTTCCAGGCTCATCTTTTGAAGGTGTTGTTCTGATTTTAATTTGTGAATTCATTCTAGACTATAGTGATCGTCTCATTTTACCCACATAGTTGTACCCACATTTAGTACATTCAGTGAGGTACACAACATGTTGTGATAGACATATGTTGAACCCAAGGACGATGAAAGATATGTTGGGCAGGGGTATAGATCATTACAACCCTGTAAATCCACAGATATTAGCATCTGTGGATGTGGATACAGATATCTGCAGCTCATTTTTGCCGACACAAATGCAGATGCAAATACCAATTTTGTATCTAGAATACTGCAAATTTGTGGATATCCACTTTATATCTACAGGTATCTGAGAAGTCATTTTTTCACTCTACTCTGGATTGATTAGGCCTCAACTGGAGTATCGTGTTCAGTTCTGGGCACCACATTTCAAGAAAGATGTGGAGAAATTGGAGAAGGTCCAGAGGAGAGCAACAAAAATGATTAAAGGTCTAGAAAACAAGAGCTATGAGGGAACACTGAAGGAATTGGGCTTTGTAAGCTGGCAGTTTGTAAGCCCATGGTCTATGAAGGCCCAACCCTAGTTCAGGGCCTAGCTCTTCTCCTCTGTGCACAGGGGAGGCTTCTGGCTTCTTCATGAGCCAGCCTCTCACTGGCCTCACTGGCAGGCCTTTTATCTCTCACTACAGGCTTGTTTAGTTTGGAAAAGAGAAGACTGAAAGGGGACATGATAGCAGTTTTCAGGTATCTAAAAGGGTGTCACAGGGAAGAGGGGGGAAATTGTTCTCCTTGGCCTCTGATGATAGGACAAGAAGCAATGGGCTTAAACTGCAGCAAGGGAGGTTTAGGTTGGACATTAGGAAAAACTTCTCAACTGTCACGATGGTTAAACTGGAATAAATTGCCTAGGGAGGCTGTGGAATCTCCATCACTGGAGATATTCAAGGTTAGGTTAGACATCTATCAGAGATGATCTAGACGGTGCATGGTCATGCCATGAGAAGGGGGACTGGACTTGATGATTTCCTGGGTTTCCTTCTAGTTCTATGATTCTATGATTCCATGATTCTATTAACCATTTTGCAGATATAGACATGGATGAGTATACTAGTTTTGTATCTTTGCAGGGTTCTGTTGATCATTATAGTAGAGAGAGATATCTGCAGGGTTTGCATCTGTTGTTATGGGAAAATCTACTATCACTTTGAGGTGGTGGGCATGTGGAGAGTTTGCTTCTGATAATGAGATTGGGAGGCTTGAAGCATAGAAGAAGGAGTTTGAGAAAGATTAATTTCATGATGTGGTCCCCATCAAGTATAGGTTATAATTGTTTAATGATGCCACACATGATTTTCAATATGAAGTGATAGATGACTATAAGGGTGTAAAGTTGGATTATTCTTTTTCCCACATTGAAACATGTTTATCTCAGGGTATTTGGTGGCCCATTCCGTAAATAAATCTGCTTTTCTGGTTGAGTGACCTTGTTTGGTGAAAGCTGTTTTAAGTGTGTTAAGGTGAGTATCTCAGATTTTCTCGCTAGATCACATTCTGTGATATTTTAGGTAGCTGCCTATAGAAAATAGGTTTCTTTCTGCGTTTGAGGTAGTTACTGACCTGTGAAGATAGCTGTTGGGATTGGTAGGATTCTTGTGTACATAATTGTCTACAGACTTCCATTCTTGAAGGTGTGACTTTCTGAGCATTCTTTCCAGACATGAAGAGCTCTGTGTAAGTTTGAAAGTTTCTCTTTTTCATCCATTTAAATTGGTCCTATAAAAGATATTACCTCACCCACCTTGTCTATCTTATAGTTTAGTGGCATCCAGGCCTTTTTTTTTTATAATTGCTACTATGTAACTGCAAAACTAAAATTTCTTTTTTAATAGGATTTTCAGAAGCAATACATTGTATCTATTCTCTGTCTACAGAGAAACGTAGGAATAAACCAATATTCAATCAAATAAGAGAAAGCCTTAAAATTGTGATTGAATAATAGCTAATTTAGTAACCTATTATCCTCCGTTTTCTCTTTTCACGGTGTCACCTGTTCCCGTTCTTTCTCAAAAGGAGAAAACTGCCAAATACCATATGGTCTCAAAGTTACAGCGTTTCTGCATTTTCTATGGTGTGACCAAAAAAAGTGAACAAAGTAATCTAAATTAACAAGTTATAAACTCTTTACTTACTACTGTGTTCATCTTGAGGCAGGAGTGCTGAAAGAGTATGGTCCAGCTGTGCAATTTTATTACTTACTGGCGGTCTTTCTGGCATGACTCTCTTTTTCTCTAAGTGTGCCATTCTGCTGCCTATGGATTGTCCAATGTAAAAAAAATATGTAAGTAACTATATTACAACTACCAAAATATTTAAGATTGAGAAAGCACATACTCAGTAACTATCTTTTAGAAAATATTATCACAGAGGCCATGTCAACACTGCATCCCTCTGTCAACAGAGGAATGCTAATCAAGCACATCGAAATTGCTAATGAAGCAGGGATTTAATATCCCACGTTTCATTAGCATAAACATGGCCACCACCTTTTTTCGAAACAGAGCTTTTAAAAAAAAACCTGGCAGCCTAGGTGTGGATCTGTCAAAAATAAACCCTTTTTTGACAGATCCTGTATTCCTTTTTGAGGAATGTTTATGCTAACGAAGCGCAGGATATTTAAATCCCTGCTCCATTAGCAATTTTGACGTGCTTGATTTGCATCCCTTTGTCAACAGAGAGGTGTAGTCTAGACACAGCCTAGGTGATCTCTCAAGTATCAGAGTGACAAAGCAAAAACAATATGCAAAAATATAAAGGACAAAAGTTTTAAGAAAACTAAAAATTAAAAATATAAAAACAGTAAAGAGCAAAGTTAAATTTCTAAAAGATAAGTTTTTTAACACACAAACATAATTTCTAAATGTTCTTAAAGCAGTTAGTTTTTTTTATCACCTTTTTAGAAAAAGTGACAGATCCTCTTTTCAGCTTCCCCACATAGCACCGGATTTTGGTTGAGGATAGGTCACAGTTGCATTAACTTGTGTATTTGTATGTGTTCAGAGTTTGAGAAGAGGTTCCATTCAGACGTGGATGTGTGGGTGAATATGAGGGGACATGTGGCCCACACATACCGGGAGTGGGAAGGGTAGGGCCCCTGGACATCCAGAGGAGCCTGGCTCGCACAGCAGGGTTCTGGGCCCCCTGCACTCACTAGCAGTAAAGTGAAGCAATACGGCCCATCTCCTTGTGCTTCTCCAGCCTTGTCACTCAGGGAAGTTCAGGATCAATGCTAACTACCCCCATGTCAAATTACATAAGTGCATGATGCCATGTCCTGAGGAAATTTTGAACTGTCATAATAGAATGGGCCTTCAGGACCAACGAAATGTGCAGTGTCATCTGGAATCTTAGCTGTGGAAGCAAGGCCTTGGCTTCCACAGAGTCAAAAAACACTCCTATACATTCTACCGTTTGTACAGGTGAGAGGTTTGACTTTCCAGTATGTGTGTGTGACATCCCCATGTCCATCAAAGGTGGACTGAATGAGTGTCACACTGTACAGTACCCTTGGGACTGACCCTTGAGTAGCCAACATCCAGATAAGGAACCATGTGAATTGACTGTCCCAGGAAGACGATCAGCATTGCCATGTATTATGTGCAGCTGTAGACAGGATGAAATGCAGTATTTTAAATTGGTTGTGGGGTTTGTTGACTGAGGAATTTCCTGTGACTATGATGTGTTGCTATGCTTAAGACCCACTGGCTTAAGATCCAATCATTGAGGTAGTGAGACAGACAGCTTGCAAAGAGCAAGTCAGTAATCTGGGAACTGGTATTCTGTCCTTAACCAATGCAGCAAGGTGCTTTCACGAAACTCTTAGGCTGCCCTGAGAATCTGGTAGTTGCAGTGGTCTTTTCTAATAAACCATCTTTCTTCAAGTTAGGGCCTGGATGCAAGATGTGAAAGCAGATACCAGTACACTGCTATAAACAAAACTGCTTTATCTTTGCAGTAACTGTAAAAGTGACCGAAGACTTGAATCAAGGTTGTATAGTTTGCGATTTGTACATTAAAAAAAACAAAAACAATATGACCTCAAAGGGTAGGTCTTACATGGTCAGTTGGGCCTCTTCAAGGAGACCAGGCCACTAAAGCCAGAACTGCACTATGAATCATTATGGGACAAACTGGCAAATCCACAGCATCCAAGCTAACCTGTCACAAGATTGTGCCCACCATTTTATCCACATTCACCATTGTGATAAGCTCCTGTCTCACCTCTTCTGGAAACTTATCTTTGAGCTTTAATGCATTGTCCTAAAGACTAAAATCATAGCATGTCATCAATGTCTGCTGGCTAGGAGCTTTGAGTTGCATAGAATCATAGGTTTGGAAGAGACCTCAGGAAGTCATAGACTATAGTACGCTACTAAAAGCAGGACCAATCCCAACTAAATCATCCCAGTCAGAGCTTTCTCAAGCTGGGACTTAAAAACATACCTCCTCCCTAGGAAATCCATTCAAGTTCTTCAACACCTTCTTAGTAAAATAGTTTTTCCTAATATCCAACCTAGAACTCCCACACTGCAACTTGAGGCCATTGATTCTTGTCATCTGTAACCACTGAGAACAGTTTCTTTCCATCCTCTTTGGAACCCTCCTTCAGGAAGTTGAAGATGGCTATCAAGTCTCCCTTCATTCTTCTCTTCTGTAGACTAAATTAAGCTCAAATCCCTCAGCCTCACTTCAGAAGTCATGTGCTCCAGCCCCCTAATCATTTTGTTGCCCTCCACTGGACATTATCCAATGAATCCACATCTTTTTTGTATTGGAGGCCCCAGAATTGGATGCTATACCCCAGATGTGGCCTAGCCAATACTGAATAAAGGGGAATAAATCACTTCCTTAGATCTGCTGGCAATGCTCCTCCTAATGCACCCCAATATGCCATTAGCCTTCTTGGCTACAAGGGCACTATAACATGATGCAACATACCACCTGAGTGCCTCTTGCTGTTCACTCTGGGAATTAGCTTTGCTCAACACTGGAGCACCCTCTTTTGGCTGGTGTCTCACTTGCTGTTATCTGTTTTCTGTTAATGGCTCTGTGATGGGGGCTTGGAGCACCACACTAACTGCTCTGGGGAGCAGGCAGTGGGCCACACTGGAGTTGCTGCACACACACAGCAGTGTGCTGTGAACCAGCACATTTAGGACCCAGGGGGAACGGTGCAAGGGGGAGGAGACGTGACGCCTGCGCAACGCAGGGCACAGAGTTTGAAAGAGGGGGCAGGAGCAAGTGGCAAAAGGGGGAGGAGAGAAAGAGCAGAGACTGGCTGCACTCTCCCCAGCAGGACACCCAGGAGCCGGGGTCCGACCAGACAAAAGCCGACCCAGACCGGGACCACCCAACCAGACCTGGCTGGAGGGGAAACAAAGACACCCTGGACGGGAAGACTCTGTGGTGGCTGAGTGACGAAGCTGCTTGAGACTCTGGACTGGGCAAGGGACTGAGGGAACACAGAGACAAAGGGGATGGGGCTTGCGGAAAAGGGGGCTCTTTGGAGGGAGTGGCTGCGGGGCCCTGTTTCAGGCTCTACTGCCTTACGTTAGGACCTGTGTCCGACCCAAACCACAGCACCTTTCTTTCCAGGTATTGCTCTATGGCAGTGCCCCCACACGCCCCCTCAGAAAACCCCCAAACCCTTATACCTACATTGCCTCAGCGACCCTACTGCCAGTCTTCATCTAGTCTCATACCTTACGGGAAAACTGCAGTCTGATGCAACCACTCATTACAGACGAAGGGGGTATGAACCACCTAACTTTGCCTACCCTGGCTGCCTCCCCACAGTCCTAGAGCCTCTCAGGCCTCTGTTGCTGGACTTCAGCCTGGGACTACTCAGGCTGGAGCCCTCCTGGCTCACTCTGCCTTTCCCCAGCACTGCTCTGCCAGTGGTACCATGGCTACCAGGAAGCTAAGTCCTTCTTCCTCTAGTTCTGGAGTGAGAGTGTGCTCAGTCTGGCCAGCCATCTCTTTTATACAGCCCATTAGGGTTCTGATTGGCTATTGCAAGGCCTCTCATTATTGTGCCCTACCTATAGCCTGCTCCTAGGGCTATTTTAACCCTTCTTATGTCTGGAGTGGTGTGATTAGCCCACTATTGGCACACAGTTGATTCATATCCAGCTTCTCATCCACTGTAATCCCAGGTCCTTTTGTACAGAATTGCCGCTTAGCCAGTCAGTCTCCAGACAATAGTAGTGCTAGGGATTCTTCTGTCCCAAGTGCAGGACTCTGCACTTGTCTTTGCTGAACCTCATCATGTTTCTTTGGATCCAATCTCCCAAATTGTCCAGGTCACTCTGGACCCTATCCCTATCCTCCAGCGTATCTACCTCTCCCCCAGCTTAATGTCTCTGTGAACTTGCTGAGGGTGTAATCCATCCCCTCATCCTGGTCATTAACAAAGATATTTAATACTGACGTCAACCAGTCATCGAGCCGTTGATCACCAGTCAGTACAATATCCATTGAACCCAAAGTTCGAGCCAGATTTCTATCCACCTTACAGTCCATTTATCCAATCCATGCATTGTATAAGGAGCCTGGATACCTAAGTTAGGACTTTGAATTCCATAAAGCAGCAGAGCACCTAAATGTTAGATGTTGCAATGCTGAGTCTAACTCCCATTTTTTAATCTAGTCCTGAGTATTCATAAGTGAAAGTGTAAGTGTATTCTTAGTCCAAGTATTCAGTCCACAGAGGATCCTGGAAGACCTGCTCCCCTCCTCCCACCATCAACATTCCTGATGACTGCAATTTATTTACTTTGCACTCACCACTCAATTTCTCTTTTCCCATCTGGCCCATTGCAGACACCTGTGCTTGTTGCAAATCTTTTAGATTTACTTCCAGCTTTGCAAGTAAAATCTCTCTTTTCTTGGTTAGCTCCTCTACTTTGCTCTCTAAAGAGAAAGGAAGGTTTTTGTGCATTAAATAGAGAAAATATTTCATAGGTATTCTCTGTAAAATGAAATATACAAAATATGGAACACTAAAAGGGGCTTTTGTGTTTCTGCCATGAGCATTCTTTATTCAGGTAGTGTACAATTGCTACAGGCAATTATCTAAACAAAGATCTTTTAGACAATAGGATGAAACCTTAGAAACTATGATGTTCCATTTAGTAAAAACAGTATCTAGTTTTTATATGTACAAATATATGTAGAAAAAAGAAAAGAAAATCTTCTTCCTTCTTATACTTTAAGTACTGTCTCTTACAGCACTGTACAAAGACAGGAAATGGTCAAATGTAGGCCTTGCGTGTATACCTGAACTCTCACAATACTGAAGCAGGATATATCTAGAAATCTAATAATGGCGAACATTTAAAAGAAAACATATTCCCTTTAACGCACAAACAACTGCAATCCACCTAAGTGACTCTCCTCTGGTGTAGAACACCACTTTGTACATACTCCATTCCATACTACGGCTATGTCTACAATACAGAGGGTTTTTTTTTTAAACGTCTGTTTTTCAAAAAAAAAAACTTACTTATTTCCATAGTGCAATTGTGTACTTTCGAAAAAAAATCGAAAGAACAGAGGATTTTTTGACATTGGTAAATATCTTTCTACGAGGAAGAAGACTTTTTCCAAAAGAGCTCTTTTGGAAAAGGTGTGTGTGGATTGGGAAGAGCGAGTTCTTTCCAAAGAAAAGGAATGAGAAAAAAAGCTCAGGTGCCCTGGTGGCCACTCTCCATAAGCAGCGAGAAGTCCTGTGGAACCTTATAGACTAACTGAAGTTAGTCAAGATCTTGCATCTTGCATCTGATGAAGTGGGTCTTTGCCCACGAAAGCTTATGCTCCAACACTTCAGTTAGTCTATAAGATGCCACAGGACTCCCCGCCGCTTTTGCAGATTCAGACTAACACGGCTACCCCTCTGATACTTGACTCCGTCCATAGTAATCACAACTTTCCAATGTGCTTTATCAATACAACAAATCTTTATATTAATAATGTGTCTATCTTGCAGTACTTAACCAGGCTAATCTCTTTTTAGAAAGGCTCTAAAAGCCTTTACATATGAACATAAAACTCAAATTGCAGTTCTGGCAGAGTAAGGAATGCAGGATCAGCACCTACCCCTGTACTTACCAGCCATAATGCTTGGTTGGCTAGACGCTAGAGCCTGTGCTTGTTGTAGATCTTTAAGGTTTGATTCCAGACTTTCAAGCAAAGCCTTTCTCGCTTCTGATAGTTCACGCAGTTTCCTCTCTATGGCAAGAAAATACTTTAAATGTATCAATAGTTAAACTGTATTTAAATATTCTTTAAAATCTGATTTACATGAGATATTTGATTATGTGAGCTGGATTCTCTAGCCATGAGTTTTCAAACATAACGGCAAATGGCTCTGCAGTTGGTGACTCCTTATGGAATGAAGCTTTCTGCCAAAGAGACCAAGCTCCTGTTGCCTCTTTGTCTTTTAGCATAAATGCTTAATGACCCTCTCTTATTGTCAGTTGAGAGTCTTCCAAAACTGATCAAACGTTTGGATCTCAACCTCTTCCTGCTTTTCCATGTAGGATCAAGGAATTTGAAATGCAGGTGGTGTTCTCGTCCATCTTCCCTGTTGAAGGAAAAGGTCCTGGTAGGCATCATTGAATTGTGAAATTAAATGCGTGGTTGCACAGGTGGTGTCGGAGAGAGGGCTTTGAGTTCTTGGACCATGGGACTCTTGTTTCGGGCACAAGGACTGCTAGAAAGAGATGGGACCCACCTAACAAGAGCATCTTCACGGGCCGCACATAGGGCATACTTATACCAGAGCATCTTCACAGGACTGCACGTAGGGCATACTTATTCAGTTTCAAACAATGGCAGTATTTTCAATCTCCGGAGACTCCAGGCTTGCAGTAAAGTGGTTACTACAACTATTCGTGACCTTCTGTTTGCCAATGACTGTACATTGCTGGCTTATTCAGTGAAAGATGCACAGGAGCTTTTGATCGCTTTGTCACTTCTGCTCACCATTTTGAACTCTCAGTGAGCCTCAAGAAGACACAAGTTATGCCTCAGCCTGTCTGGAAAGGGCCCAGAACTCCAGTGATTACTGCTGTGGGTATAGTCCTTAAGGCTGTTGACAAGTTCTGCTACCTGGGAACTGAATTGTCCTCTAGCATAAATGTGGATCATGATGTATCTGCTCAACTAGCCAAAGCCAGTGCTGCCATTGGAAAACTGACCAAACGCCTATGGAATGACCATGGTATTAAACTCCATACCAAGATAGCGGTTTATTAGGCAGTTGTCTTGAATGTCCTGCTGTATGGCTCGGAGTCATGGACAATATATCGTCACCATGTTTTCAAGCTCGATCAGTTCCATATGCATTGTCTGAGAAAGATTGTCCATGTGAACTGGTGGGACAAAATTCCTAATAAGGAGGTTCTTAAGCTGTGTGGTGTCATGGGCATGGAAGCAATGCTTATGAACAAACAGTTTCACTGGATCGGTCATGTTATGAGGATGGATGATACATGAATACCAAAGATGGTCTTTTATCGCCAGCTTGCTCATCGAAAGCGCTCTATCGGTGGTCAATATAAGTACTATAAAGACAACTTAAGGCCAATATCAAGTCATACGGCATATCTCCCAATGATCTGGAAACTCTAGTTAAGGACAGTTTGTCCTGGCGATAAACCATTATACAGGCTCTTAAATACTTTGAGAGCCAGAGTATCCAGATATTACAGGAAAAGTGGAGGATCTGAAAAGAACATACAGCACCTGCAGTTGGCAGCCTTTTATGTGACATCTGTAATTGGCTCTGCTGATCCAGGATTGGTTTAGTTGCTCATCAAAGATGTCATAAAAGATGAGATCTTTCAATTGACGGCTCAGTCCAAGAAGATTTCTATAAAGTGAAACAGCTTCCTACCAGCCAGCTTAGGCAACTCCTCACAGTGTGCTGGTTTTTGTAAATCACATTCTTAGGCACCTCATCCTCTCCGTGCATTGTATAAGGAGCCTGGATACCTAACTTAGGACTGTGAATTCCATAAAGCAGCAGGGCACCTAAATGTTAGATGTTGCAATGCTGAGTCTAACTCCCATTTTTTAATCTAGTCCTGAGTATTCATAAGTGAAAGTATAAGACTTTGTATTCTTAGTCCAAGTATTGAGTCCACAGAGGATCCTGGAAGAACTGCTCCCCTCATCCCACCATCAACATTCCTGATGACTGCAATTTATTTACTTTGCACTCACCACTCAATTTCTCTTTTCCCATCTGGCCCATTGCAGAAACCTGTGCTTCTTGCAAATCTTTTAGATTTACTTCCAGCTTTGCAAGTAAAATCTCTCTTTTCTTGGTTAGCTCCTCTACTTTGCTCTCTAAAGAGAAAGGAAGGTTTTTGTGCATTAAATAGAGAAAATATTTTATAGGTATTCTCTGTAAAATGAAATATACAAAATATGGAACACTAAAAGGGGCATTTGTGTTTCTGCCTTGAGCATTCTTTATTCAGGTAGTGCACAATTGCTACAGACAATTATCTAAACAAAGATTTTATAGAAAATAGAATGAAACCTTAGAAACTTTTATATTCCATTTAGTAAAAAGAGTATCTAGTTTTTATATGTACAAATATATATAGACAAAATAAAAGAAAATCTCCTTCCTTCTTATACTTTAAGTACTGTCTCTTATAGCACTGTACAAAGACAGGGAATGGTCAGATGTAGGCCTTGCGTGTATACCTGAACTCTCACAATACTGAAGCAGGATATATCTAGAAATCTAATAATGGCAAACATTTAAAAGAAAATATATTCCCTTTAACGCACATACAACTGCAATCCACCTAAGTGACTCTTCTCTGGTGTAGAACACCACTTTGTACATACTCCATTCCATACTACAGCTATGTCTACAATACATTCATCTGACGAAGTGGGTCTTTAACCACGAAAGCTTATGCTCCTACACTTCAGTTAGTCTATAAGGCTATGTCTAGACTGCAAGCCTCTTTCGAAAGATACTTTCGAAAGAGCCTCTTTTGAAAGAGAGCGTCTAGACTGCACGCGGAATTTCGAAAAAGCAAGCCGCTTTTTCGAAAGAAAGTACCCAGTGAGTCTGGATGCTCTCTTTCTAAAAAGCCTGTTTGCTTTCAAGAACGCCTTCTTTCGAAAGAGCACTTTCGAAAGAAGGCGTTCTTCCTCGTGGAATTAGGTTTACCACCGTCGAAAGAAAAGCCGCATTCTTTCGATTTAATTTCGAAAGAAC